TTGTTTTTGTTTTTGTTTTTGTTTTTGTTGTTGTTGTTGTTGTTGTTGTTGTTGTTGTTGTTGTTGTTGTTGTTGTTGTTGTTGTTGTTGTTGTTGTTGTTGTTGTTGTTGTTGTTGTTGTTGTTGTTGTTGTTGTTGTTGTTGTTGGAAAGTAGATGGTAGATTATTGAACCAACCAACCCAACCTATATAATGGTGACCATATTAATCAACCCCAGGTTATGAATAAGGGGGGTGTCTTGGGTTTGTTGGGGCATCATCACTTTTTGGAGGACACCCACCCCCAATAATCAGCTGGGGTTGATTCATATGGGGTGAACAGTATGGTTGTTGCCAAGGTCCTCCATTTTTTTTTGCCAGATTCTAACATGAGTGGCTGTGGGTCCAAAATAGGGGAACCCAAAATGGGTTGCCCTGGTAAATGGAACCACGGACTAAAACCTGCGGTCCATTTCCTGGTTTAATTTTGACTCATACACGAGTGTGTCCCTTCTTGACTGTACCCTTTTTGCCTGGTTTCAACAAAAAAACCAAAAGGAAACCAGCCATTCATAGAGGACCCCTAAACACTTCCACACCCATGCTAGGTCCTCCAGATTTGAGAGGATAGAATCAGGGTACCCACTTTTCTCTGTTTCGCCTATTTTAGTAGGGGAACCCTCCCAACCAAAAAAGGGTGAGAGAGGGCACTACTGGGGGACCAGGGAACTATGGGTGTGATTGCTTTTGGAGTTGGTCCCCGATTTCTGCGGTTTTCAAAAGGGAAGCCAAAAGGAAAACCGAAATCCATTTGAGGGGTACCCTCGAAAACGCACGCCATATAACTCAGACCCTGGGGAAGAGGGGGGTTCTCTTATTTTGGCTGACTTGGAAGGACCACCCCCGGTTTAAACGGTAAACAGGGCAGCTGTAGGTCTGGGGAACATAAGGGGCTCCTCCAAGCTGGGCCGTCTCTAGTTGCCCTTTCGACACTTTCGAGGGGGAACATTTTCCAACGATCCAAGTCATTGCACGCGTCTTGTGACGCAAAAATTACCAAACCCCAGTCTCGAAACCCCAAAAACTGGCTACCCTTTTTCCCTAGCCCCAAGACCGGGATCCTTGCATTATACACCTGAACATTGCCTTGCAAATGGTGGTTTCCCTTTATTTTGGTGGAACAAGCCATGTTTCAAATGGGCAACATGTATATGTTAAGGAGCCCTGCCAAAACAGGTACCCTCAAAGCAACACACGCCCGCGCACCTGGGAAAGCTGCTCGCGGTGCCAAGCGAGCACCTCGGAGCCTGAAGATTTCGGATTTCGGCGCGAAGGTCCTTACGGGTGTGGAGACGGGTGAGCTCAGGTATGTTGTCTTCTCGCTTGTATGTTTTGGTGGTTGTTGGTTTTCAATCAAGGGGGGGAGGAGTTACGTTTTTTCTTCAACAAATTGATTCTATTTTTTTGGGGGGGGCCTCTTTATTTCTTTGTGTTTTTTTTTTTTTTTTGCGGGGGGGGGGGGGACATTGCATCATTTTCGGGGCTTAGGGGGGGGATGTGCCAATCACAACTTGTTGGGGTCGCCGCCCCCTTTTTGTGGGTTGTTGCCTTTTTGTCTTGGGGGTTACTCTGCCCTTTCTCGGGGTTTGGTAGGTTTCTGGGGGTTGAAGCCGTAGGTGTCCTTCTTGGAAAATAGATGGTGGATGATTGAACCGGCAGGTAAACCAACGTTTCAACCAAACCAACCTATCGGTGACCATATTCATCAACCCCAGCATATGAATGAGGGGGTGTCTTGGGTTTGTTGGGGAATCAACACTTTTTGGAGGACACCCCCCTCTTGAAAAGCTGTGGTTGATTCATATGGCCATGGCTCAAAATCCCGTACCCCCAGTGATCCCAACCCCCACTAACACAGGTTCTAAAATGGGCGATGACTTCACCTACCAACCAAAATGGGGATCCCAAAACGGTTTTGACCACCACAGCCATATGGGGTCAACACAGTTCTGGTGGTTGCCATAGGTTTTCCGAAAATCTCGGCCCGCGTTTCGGCTCTGAGGCGAAGACTCTCATCCAACCGCAGGCCTTGGCCTTGCACCTTAAACACGGAGACCGCCGATTGGGTCTTGCGACGTCTGGGAGTGCAGACCCCGAATTTTCTTTTGGCGGTAAAGAGAAACCAGAAGGGAAAACTCACTGCTGGGGGAAAACAAATCTGCCGTTGGTGCCTCGTGGTAAAATAGGTTAACCCGCGGATTTGATTCAGTTCAACCAACCAAAAAGCAGTTCAAGCGGCTCTCAGAAGGATTCGCATCTGTTTTGGGGTTGGGTGACTTCAAATGGGTTCGATCACATCAATGGGTTCCGAACTCGGATGCGTAGCGATCGGACACCACTTGTGATCGAACCCATTGAACAAGTCCTTTGAGGGTTCTGTCTCTCCCTGCAAAGAACCAGAGAGATGAGGCTCAAGCCCAACTGGACGGCAACACTGTGTCATCCCAGTCGAAGATGAACAAAGTTTCCTGCACGGAAAAGCGAGCCATGGTCAGAAGACCTGACCAATCCTACGGCTATAACTATGCCATGATTGACTGGCAGGTCTCCTCTGTGGAGAACCAAGAATCAATCTGTTCCGGCCCCTCACCTGGGACGTCACATGTCTCTCAAAGCGCTAGCAAAATACGTGGACTGAGATTGGGGCAGTGGGGCTGGTCCAGCGAATTTGCCTGCACAAACCAATTGACTGGTGGTTATCATGTTGACCCCGGAATAATAAACTCCTGTACAGTTTTGGGGGTGTCCCTCATTTTCGTGGGGATTCATCACTGTTGGAGGGGAACACTCTCTACTAGGTCCTCCAGATTTGAGAGGTTAGAATAAGGGTACCAACTTGTTTTTCTTCTGTAGTCTATTTTAGTAGGGGAACCCTCCCAACCAAAAAAGAAACGGTAAATGGGCAGTACTGGGGGCTTGGTTGATCCGGGTCAACATTACCACGGTGCTTCGGCGCGGTCAACTCGGCACTGGGACTGACCACAACAAACGCGTCACGCCTCAGGACGGCAGGGTTCGACGGGTGCGAAGCCCGGCCTTAGAGTCTCATGACTCAAGGAGCAAGAGGAACCAAAAAGCAAACAAGCTCGGCTTCCGAGAAATGCAAACCAATCCACCAATTGGTGGAAAACATATCCAGAGGTCTACTCTGATCCACTGAGGTTCTGGCACTCCTTGCTCAGATGGAATCTCTTCATCCTGAACAAGCCAACATCGACCAAGACGCAAGGCATCGACCAGTTAATTCTGCGATTGGCTTGCCTCATCGTAGTCGAACTCAGACCTGAAAATCGATTCTCCGGGCGCAAAAGAAATCGAGCTACCTTGCGCATTGCACATGACACAACCAGGGCGGCGGCTCGATGTACGTGGTATCATCCTGCGGCGGGCGCGGCGGCGGCACGCGACGCGCCGTACCGTTTTTTGCGTGGCGCCTGGGTGGGGAACAGGCCAGGCCCAAGCTGCCTGGGCATCTTGCCTGAGGGTAGCTTGAAAGGAGTCAACATCACTCGGTTGCGAAATCTGCTCCCCTGCTAAAGTTTAACTTTTAGTTGTTTAATGGACTTGTTAGTTGGCAAACAGTTAAAGTCCTAACATTCAAGTAACATGCACCAAAGATCAGATGGATCTCGCCTTCATCCGTGGAGCAGGAGTCCGTGCTCTCGTTGTCGTCATTCCGGGACTTGCGCAAGTCGGTGTTGCTGATACCTCACAGTTGCCGAGGTGACTTCTTTTTTGTCAAAATTTGTTAAGAATGTGGGACGTGGTGATTTGCTTTAAATGGATCAGTTCCCTCTGGTTTCCCTTTGGAATCACTGCAAACAGCGCAGCGCACCTCTACACAACACCTCCAGACTCAGTATCCTTTTGGAACAATGGATTCCAAAAAAGGACATGTTTAGACCAAACTGGGTTTTATCCCATCTGGTTTCGGTTTCGCTGAAAACTGCCCCCTCCCCCCCCCCCCCGGCCACACATGTGTGGGTAGGTGTCAACTTGGGGGACCCCTCCCCCCACAAAGGGCGGTTTCCCTTTGGCTCCTTTGAAACCCAAAAATCGCCATCTGTTCGCAAAACACACACACACACACACACACGCACACTTGTCTTGCTTCGAAAGGGTCCACTCGAGTTCTCAGGCGATTGGCCGTCAGTGTTCAGCAAGGTCTTTGCGAGCTTGGACTCTTGGATCCACCTGAGCCAAAGGAACCCTAAGGCAAGGAAAACACCCCAATCCTGGCTTCAATGGCCTGCAACCTGGTCGAAAAAGAGGACTGCAAGGATCCCAGAGTTTCCGGCGGCATTGGACAACTTTGCAAGTTCAACCAACTTGGCGCCAGCTCCTTTTACCTCAAGGCTCTACTTACAACTAGGTTGAACGTCCGAGTGAGTGCCCAATATCTGAAGCTGAAGATATGGAAGGCCGGGATCCAAAGTGCATCCGCTTGGCGCATTGGTCCAAATCACGGCTCCAAAATCCGTCTGCAAACATCGATTCTCTATGAAAGGCAGCCGTTCAGCTTTGTCAAGAGAAAAAAACACTTGCGGGAGCCTTCTCTTCACTTTCCATTTCAAACAACATGCAAGAAGGGCACCCTCCCAAAGAACAGATTCTGAACCCAATCCTGAAGATCCTGCCTGCCAGTGATGCCCTCCCTCAATGCCTCAAGTGCCTTGGTTTCACTTGCGAAGGGCTCTGCAAATTCTGCATGCCGATCTGAGGATAGCACCATGCTGAAAGTTTCTAGGGAAAGCCGAAAAGGCTTGAGGGTCTTGCCTGATCCTTGTAAAAAAATGCAGGCTGCGGAGCAAATGCATGGCAACTGAAACTCGTGTTGCCCGAACCTTTGTGTGTGTCTGTGCCTGTTTTTTTCAGGGTACTCTTTTACGGCTGGATCATTTAAGGGAAAAACAACCATACACAATCTTTGAGGGTACCCCAGTTTGACACGTGCCCTTTTTGCTTCTCGCAGGCCATGTCTCACTTGGGCCTTTGGCCCGAAATCGCCTGCATCGAGTGCATCAGGAGCGATTCCCAAACAAGATCCGCAATGGCCTGACAAACTTGTGGACATATGTATGGACGCCCCCTCCCACCTTGAACTGCCCCTGTTGATGTGCCTCAAAAAAATGAAAAGATGTGTTCTTACATATTTTGTTGTCATGAAAGCGACATTTAAAGCAAAACGGAATCCGTTTTGGATTTGCATTACGCTAATTGTGAAAGGTTAGGAAAGCCCACACTTGTTGCAATGTTCTATCATTCTGTGAACATCACAGTTCATGTTTAGCAAATTCTATAGTTTAGACGCAGACGATGAAGAAACAAATCATCCATAAGGCCAAACAAAACAACAGTGCTTGTTGGCTTTCTCGAGCTTTTTGTTGTTCGTTTCTGTTTCTTTCCTCAGTGGTTGTTGTTTTCTTGAGTAAACAATAATGCAAATCGATGGCTTTCTGGCTTTAGAAATGATTGAGGGAATACCGCACATAAAACAACAACTCGGGGGGGGGGAAACGCGCAAAAAGACAACACAACTCTGAGGAGAAGTGTTGGTTTGCCAAAAGTTGTTTGTTGGATTTCTCCTGAGTAAAACGCCAAAATAACTCAATGACAAAAGTTTGTTCTTTCTCCGTTTTTGGTTTCTCGACGCTTTCTTTTTGAATTCGCATTTTTTCGTCGGGTTCTTGTTTTCCAGCTTGTCCCTGTTTTGGGCAGGGTTGGTACTGCCATGGCTAAACCATCTTGGAGCCGCAGTGAAGGAGTGTGATCAGTGAACCAAATGTTCAAGGTAAAATTAGAATTCAGCACTTGGCTTCCAAGTCTTGACCAAGCTCTTACACAGGCTCCTTAGAAAGCTCCTCATAAACGCTCCTTATAAGGCTGATTGCAAAGCTCCTTTGTAAGGCTCCTTATAAAACTCCAACATAAGGCTCCTTTTGAAGCTGCTTGAACGACTCCTTTTTGAAGCTCTTTGTACAGCTCTTTTAATGCTCCTTATTCAAAAAACTCCATATAATTAATTAAGGCTCACAATTCCTTGTGAAGCTGCTTGCAAAGCTCCTTTTGAATCTCACTTGATACAACTGCTTATAAGACTTCTTATAGAGATCCTCATACCGCTCTTTAAACTTACGCGACTCGCTGTGAAGCTCTGTTAAAGGCTCCTTAAAAGGCGCCTTGTGCGATTCCTTGCAAACATGCTTGTAGCACTCCTTTTTAGGTTCACTATAAAGCTCGTTTTAAATGCCGCATATCTAAACTCCTTGTACTCTCCTTGAAAAGCTGCTCAGAAGCCTCCTTGTACGGCTCCTGTTACAGCTCCTTATTAAGGTCTTCAAGGCTCCTCATAAGGCTCCTTATGCCAAATTCGATTCTGATTGAAATGGGACAACTCTAGTTAATCCAACCATAATCTTTATTTTGAATGATACCTGAAATGCAATTGCATTTCAGGCCTTCCTTAGGGACATAGTTGACCACGGTGTCAAAGGCCTCTGGAGGATCTGCTCTGCATCTTCAAAGTGGCACGATGGGGGCTGTGGGGGTGTGGGGGGGGGTGGGGCAGTGGGGTGGGGGGGGGTATCATACACACATGTCACATGTATATATATATATATATATAAAGTCTCAAGATGTGTGTTTCCTCCACCTAGGCCACCGCTAAAATCGGGGGCTAAGTCCCGTGGTTGGTGTCCTTCGGGGTTCGCATCCGAGATTGCCATGCCTCGAGTCTACTGGATCGAGTCCAACCTGAGTCGCAAAACACCAAGCTCTGGATGCTTCCATTTGCTTAAGCCTCCTGGCAAAAAAAAAAAAACAGAAGAAGATATGTCCAATAGTTAATACCAAAAGGGAAAATCAAAAATGTGCTTAAGCAAATGGAAGGATGGCAAAAAGGCTCACTCTGAGATTTCCACCCGACGCCAAACTTGCTCTTCAGCTCGACATCCAAAGCCCTGGACGAAAAGCCATGACCCTCTCTCTGTCTCTGACCCTGAGTGCTGGAGGTGGCTTTTTTTCAGAGGTCTGTGTCTTTTGACTAGGCCGGTTTTGGGTTGCTTTTGGGTGTGGTTCAGTGAGCTTTGGGCGGGGTTTGGATTGGCGTTGGGAGCGCCCCAAACCACAAATCAGCTCCAAGCCATCCCCGAAACATAAAGTCAACCCCCTGAAACCCTACCCCGCCCTCATTGAGATCTACCCCCATTCTTGTTCAACCAGTTCCGAGGAAGGGTCAATAAGTGAGGCCGGTGATGCTGAGGATGCCGACCAACGAACCGAGCTAAGAAACATCCCATCCCTGCTCAGTGACACCACCTGCGTCCAATGCACTGAGCGCCCCAAGCACATTGGCATTGGGTTCCACCAGATCATAACCGAAAGCTTCATATTGCCCTCCATGGAACCGGGTAGAACCACGGCCAGTAGGCTGCTGCTTTCGATTGGGTCTGCTTCTCTCTGACTCTCAAGGGTTCCGGATACTTCCACTTCGAACATCACCGAAGGAAACTGTGCTGCACGGCAGAGAGGGCCCTGATGGGTCGGCAGGGTCTTCCTCCTGTAGAACGCTGAAACGGCAAAACGCGAAACGCAAGGAAAAGACCGAAGACCGAAAAGTAATGCTGGACCTTCTTGAATGTTAACCCCCCTCCTGAACCGTGCCAACCGTCGTTTGGAGCCTCTGAAAGTTAAAAATGGGGTGCGGGGTTGACTTGGACTTGCCAATTCTTCATTTAGCATTACTAATTCTAAATGTAGTATTGCCAAGACCTGATCTCGGATTCCCAGTACTCAATTTAGAATTGCCAAGACTTATAGTACGCTCAGACTCCCAGTACTTAGTTCAGTATTGCCAGCCAATTCTAAAATTATTATTGCCAAGATTGCATCTCAGATTCCTCGTACTTAACTTGGCATAATGACACCTGACAAACGTTTTACATTGCAGAAGCCCACGACACAGCTGGGTAAGCATGCTAAACATGATCAGGAGCACCCCCCCCTTTTGTGCGATGGTTGGGCTTGTGTTGGTCAGAATGTGTCTTGAACTTGATGGTGTAGGGACCACTCGCAAAATTGAAGTTCCATCTAAGGCTCATAGCCTTTGAGCTGGGCAAAGGCTTGGCTAGATGAGCCACCCTTTGAAAGCAAAAGGCTAAGGCTCTGATCTGGGAATTTCCGCACCTCAAAAAAGCTTGACATCAAAGAAGTCAACAAAATAGTCATGGTAAACAGGATCAGAGGCTCCGGCGGGCAACCCCTAAACATGAGGATGTTGGTCGCTAATGAACGCCCCTGACTTGGGGGTTGTGCTTACAAACCCGTCATTTCGCCTGTCCCAAATTGACTCTCTTTCCCAGGTATCGGTTTGCGCTATTTTTGACAGTGACATATCGGTACAAGCGGTGCGCGGGCGCAGTACTGATGTCGTGGATGCGCAGGTTCTCTTCGGGTGCGCGTGTCATGTGCTAGGCATTTTGCGTGTGACTAGCTGCAGCCAAAAGCCGGGTGGCACTGGTGCGTGCCCGCACGTCTGATTTGGATTCATAGATTCAATGCTGAGCGGGAGCTCTTGAGCGGGTGCTTATGATTTGGCAGGCGTGGATACAGTCCTTTGTAGTTGCTGAATCGGCACGCGAAAACGGCAAACCGGCTTTACCGGTTTCCTCAGTAGAACGATAAAACGTTAAACCGGCTTTAATTACCGTTTTACCTAGCACGTGAGAAACGGACTTTTTAGACCGCTTAGAACTCATCGTGGGATCCGGAAGGTGACGTTTAAAACCACCAACAAGGAGGCAGTATCAGCATGGTATGTCTCGTGAAAATCGGCGGCCCCTGGCTTTCATTTGATTTCCCCTTCATTTGATGTCCCCCAAAAACCCGGGTAAATCATGTGGAACGTAGCCAAAAAAAACAGCACGCATGCTTCTGAAATTTGGCTTGGCAAGGGGGGGCAAGGCCAAAGGAGGCCGAGTCCGCCGCTTCGATCTGCTTCGATCCGCTTCTTTGGCCGCCCGGCTCTTCGTCCACCTCCGCGTTGCCACGCCCGATGCTGGCCAGCTTCGAGGGATCGTGCCTCGAAACGGGGGCTGAACAACTTGGGAAGACAGGGCCACAAAACCCACAGGGCCACAGGGCCAAACGGGGGCCGACCGTTTTTTTTTGGGAATCTTGTTCCAGCTTTTTTCCTTCTTCTTCTACCAACGGGCGCTGTTTCCAGTTGCCCAAAGCATCTGCAAAGGCTTTCCCCCTCGCTTCCTGGGTTGGCCCGAAAAAGGTCCGAGCTGCGTCTTTCCCGCAAGAGAAAGTCCAGGAACTCAGAAGTGCTCTAAAACCAACCGGGGGAAAAAACACAACCACATATTCTTAAAATCCAGGCCTCCTTCACACAGTTTCTTGGACGGATGCTTTGGATGGGTCTTCCGTGGGCTTCCTTACAGAGCTTCACATCCCTCAGCCAAACGATCGCATCCCCCAGGACGCGTCGAGGCGAGAGCTGGGCGTAGAAGCGGCGCATCTTCTCGTACAGGCCTTGCGTGGTGCCCAATTGGGCCACGAGCCTTTTGGGAGTCTCATATTTTTTTTGGTATCTGTTTTTTGGGTTTTAAACCCACTTCCTGAATGGATTGGTCAGAGTCTTGCAACCAAACTTTTGGTTTACCACGAAAACAGTCTTTCCAAGCAGTTTTGATACAGTCCAGGAACTCCGCGAGTGAGTTTGAAGGGGACCCCAAACGGACACCATTTCACGGTCACGATGCAAAGCAAGGCACGCTCCCTCGAGAGCTAAGAATGCCACCTGATGGGTAGAGAGTCTTTGACCTGGCATTGACTACGGCTCTGAGCTTTGAATCGAGCGGCGTCTCTTCGGGTTCCAGGAGTCTATAAGGGGTGGTTCCACAAGGGAATCCATGCCTCTGATGGTCCTATTCTACTTTTTGCTTCTGTTTCGCTAGAA